CCAGCTCAGGTTACCTAAAGAGATAGGGTAAAGGTGCATCTCCTCTGCTGGGTCCATCCTAATCAAATTGTCACAGCACAGAGATTTTGGGGAGAAACAAAGGTGGCTTCCTGCCACAGGCCTCACGCACCACCTTTAGCAGGGCGGTGGTGCCCTCCCTGTATGAGGCATGCAGGGAGTACTTGAGGGAGAATCTGCACAAGGCAGGGCCGCAGATAGCCTTGCACTTCACCTCCAACATCCGAAGCAGCTGGGGTGGCGATCACGCCTACCTCTCCCTCACAGGGCACTGGTGCAATCAGTCAGGCCGTCAGTGGGCTCTACTGAAAGCTGAGGTGCCGGATGAGTCCCACACAGCAAGGGAGACGGGGGCCATGAACCACATGGTGCAGGGGTGGCTCGTTGGGCAGGCGGAGCTCACCCATGGGTTCATGGTCACCAACAACAGGGCCAATATGGTGAAGGGTGTCTGTGATGCCAAATTTGTTGGCATTTGCTGTGTGGTGCACAGGCTGCACCTAATAGTGAGGGATGCCTTGGAGGGGAACAGGGCTGCTGGTGATAGTGCTGCCACCAGTACTACAAGCCAGCTGATTTCAAAATGCAGGAAGGTGGGAGGCTACTTCCACCACTGAATCAAGAGTGGCAAGATGCTGCAGGAGAAACAGGCAGAGCTGAACATCCTGCAGCACAGAATCATACAGGATGTGGAGACACAGTGGAACTCCACATACCTGATGCTCGAAAGTTTGGTGGAGCAACAGAAGGCCATCCATGAGATGCAATTGCTTGGGGAGATTGGGATCAACACCCCCTGAACACAGCTGAGTGGGGTACCATCTCCCAGATCTTGTTTGTCCTCAAGCCCTTCCTCAAGGCCTCTGAGACCCTTAGCACTAGCAATGCCCTCCTCAGCCAGGTGACCCCCTAGTGAGGGGGCTGGAGAACCAAATGGAGAATTTCTAGGGGATCAGTGTTCCTGGCTGGGGCAGGCCACTGTCACCAGATGTGCAGGCACTAGTGAGGCAGCTGAAGGAGGGCATCAGGAGACGGCTGGATCCCTTGAGGTCCCATACGGTCCGCATGACAGTGGGCACGTGCAACCCAAGGGTGAAAGGGAGCATGTGCACTGGCAGCCAAAAAACCCTTTATCACTGGACACAGGTGCTGGTGAACAAAGTCAGGGAGGCTGAAGTGCAGAGGCAAGGGGATGTGGAAATGGGGCATTCACTTTCCCGTGCCAGCACTCCCAGCACCAGCACCAGCCAGTCTTCTCCACAGCAGCCACTGCCAATGTAGGCCATGGGAATAGCTTCAATGCTGGGGTCCAAACCAGCTTTGGGCAGGTAGCACTGAGACTTCGGTGGCTACCTATCTCGCTGAGGATGTGGAGCCCCTGGACTGCAATGCCTTGGCCGACTGGGCAAACTGCAGGCATATGTGGCAGGATCTGGCCACAGTTGCCCGGCAACACTGGTTCCATCCACCGACCAGTGTTCCAAGTGAGACGGTGTTCAGCATTACTGGGGATGTTGTGACACCCCACCGCACCTGCTTGGATCCTACCTTGGTGGAGCAGCTGGTGTTCCTGAAAGGTGAACCTCCCACTGCTGGGGTTCCCCAAGCTCC